GCAGCTAAGCCCGTGCGTCACAACTACTGAGCCTGCGCTGTAGAGCCCACGAGCCACAACTACTGAAGCCCACGCGCCTAGAGCCCGTGCTCCGCAATAAGAGAAGCCACCTCAATGAGAAGGCCACGCACCACAATGAAGAGTAGCCCCCGCTCGCTACAACTAGAGAAAGCCTGTGCACAGCAACACAGACCCAATGCAGCCATAACTAACTAACTAACTAACTAACTAACAAAAAAAGAGCTATGGGTGGCCCCTACCTCTCCCCCAGGTTACATCCACTACCAGCCTGCCCAGGACCGGATGCAGCCCCACCTCCTGGAGATGCTGATTCAGCTACCGGCCAGCTCGGTCACGAAGGTCTCCATCCAGTTTGAGCGGGCGCTGCTTAAGTGGACTGAGTACACCCCGGACCCCAACCACGGCTTCTACGTCAGGTGGGCTCCCCCGACCTGCTGCCCCCACCCTCCTGACCCACCCTCTCTGCCACTTACCCTTGATGGAGGAGCCGTGAGGAACACGGCTCACAGAATACCTGTCTGCTTCTCTGCAGCCCATCTGTCCTCAGTGCCCTCGTGCCCAGCGAGGTGGCCGCCCAACCCGTGGACTGGGAAGAGAGTCCCCTCTTCAACACCCTGTAAGTGTGACCTCAGCCGTGACACCAGCACAGAGGATCAGGTTCCTGCGGGCTGGGCTGGGGCTAGATGCTGCCTCTTCCAAAGTAATGAGTAGGTTCCCTCAGTCCTAATTAAAGCCCTAGTGGTCTCTAATATTTGTACAGCCTTTATGGAATGATCCTAAAGAGCTTCTAGGAGAATCAATAGGTGAGAAGCGCAGTACGTATAGCCCAAGTTTACTCATTAGTTCCCTTAACAAATATTTAATTGAGCGCTTATCAGATGCCAGGTACTTCAGAGAGCACCATGTGTACCACAGTAAACAAAACAGACTTGCCCCTGCCCTTCTTGTGCTCAGTCTAGAGGGGAGCTGCTAGGGTCACTGGGGAGTAGTCTGGTGGGTCATTCAGGAAGGCTGCTTTGAGGAGATGGCCTTTAGGCTGAGACCAGAAGGCTAAGGAAAAGGCAGCCAAGTGAAGGCAGGGCCCCTTCCCTCTCCCTCAGCACCGGAGCTGCTCTCCTGTGATCAGATTTCTGTGTTGAGCTTTAAAAGGCTTTGAGGCTAAGAAGGCTTTGAAAACCCTTACTGCCAAGACTGGCCCAGTGCGGTCCGAGGAGGGGGTGGCAAGACGGCGCGGGGTAGCAGCCGGTCCAGCCTCACCTCTCCCTCCCAACCCCCAGCTTCCCAGCCTCCGACAGCTCCAGCTACTTCGTGCGGCTCTACACGGAGCCACTGCTGGTGAGCCTGCCCACGCCGGACTTCAGCATGCCCTACAACGTCATCTGCCTCACGTGCACAGTGGTGGCCGTGTGCTACGGCTCCTTCTACAACCTCCTCACCCGAACCTTCCAGATTGAGGAACCCAGCAAGGGCGGCCTGGCCAGGCGGCTGGCCAACCTCATCCGGCGCGCCCGAGGCGTCCCCCCGCTCTGAGGCGTGCCCTCCTCACAGCTGGGCTGCTGCTTCTCTCCGAGGCGGGTGGTGACTGACCCCCAGGGCTGCTTCTGCCGCGTGCCCTCCCACGAGGCAGTTTTTGAACCAAGCTGACCCCTGGATTGGGCCAGGGCCTCAAGTGGCGCTATCAGGACAGTAGCCACTAGCCAGATGTGTGTTTGAATTGAAATTAATTGAGATTGAAAGTGTACTTCCTCAGCCGTACTAGCCCCGTTTCAAGTGCTCAGTAACCAAAAGTGATCAGCAGCTGCAGTACCGGGCAGCGAGGACAGATGTTCCCCCCACTGCAGGAAGTTCTGTTATACGGTGGCCTGGATGATAGGATGTGCTGAGGAGTTCGTGTTGTGCGGTAGGTGGAGTTCACTGGGTGTGGAATAAAAAGTGCCTATTTCCTTGGTTCTTTGCCTCCTGTCCCTGAGGCCTGGGAAGAGCTGGGGACTAGGGCGTGTTTGCTGGGTGCCTGAACAGGACCTCCTACCCCATCCCCTCCTCCCCACCAAAGAAACAACCAACCAAATAAAATTCCCCTACCTCCTCCCACCCCTGCCAGAAATTCCTTCTCGTCTCCTGCTTCCCTCCCCGCCCACCATGTCTGACTGTAATTCCCAGAACTCCCTGGGTTTGGCTGGGAGTGTTTTGCATCACCATTTCCATGACGGTGAAAATGAATCATCCTGCGCCTTTTAGGAGCCCTGAGAACCAGTCCCCTGTCACCAAGGGTAGGGCCGGAGTGACGGAAGAACTCTGTGTGGTGGCTTTCCAACCAGACTGTGTATTAGAATCATCTGGGGCTCCTGTGAAATAGTGCAGATTCCTGGGTCCAGACCCTGTGAATTCAGTCGTTCTGGGTGTAGCCTAGACTTCGAGTTTTTATGTTTTTATCAGGCTCCTCTGGAGCTTCTGTTGCAGGTGGTCCTTAGACTACCCACAGGCTTTGAAGCCCACCCCTGCTTACCTCTCCTGGTCATATAACCCTGGATTCCTGTAAAACAAGTCCTTAGGCAGATGTCTGCCCTGCCCCCATCGTCTGTCTCTTCTTCTGACACACTTGGCATCAACTGTATAAGCTACTTGTGGTCTGCCCCTCCCTCCCCCAGCTCTCCCATCATAGTGGTTTGGTGGATTGCCCATCAAACAGAACGCCCTGCTCCACCAACCACATGCCCCCCTCAACTGCTAGGTTCACTCTGACATACAAAACCAGGTGAGATGTTGCTTCCTCCAGGAAGTCTTCCCTGATACACCGAGCTGCTGTGTGCCCCTCCCCTCCTTGGACTTAGCTTTCATGTTCCTTATCACCCTGGCTGTTACTGTCCTTTAACTTCCATTAGACTAGGAGCTTCCTGGAGGCACAGGGGCTGTCCTCCATCTGGACCTGACTGCACTCAGGACAAGTTGTAAGTGCTCAGTCAACAGACATAAATGTATGAATGGGTGTGGGCTATTCTGGCTTGGGGTCTGGGGTCTAGAGGTAGGGATGGGTAGGGTGAGGGGCTTTCTAGAAACCCCACAAGTATGAGTGCAGTCTTTAACACAGTAGGATTGGTCATGTCTGTACAGCTAACATAGATGGGGCTGTTCAGGTTACCTCTAAAGGTTTTCCAAGAGCCTCTAGAACATACAAACGACGTGTGTGTGTGTGTGTGTGTGTGTGTGTGTGTGTGTGTGTGTGTCTAGGAAGGGAGGTGATGTGAGTGAGCTAGTCCATACCATGGGCAAAAGCAACTGGGTCAAGATGCTTTTACTCAAGTTTACTTCCAAGCAGTAAATACGCAGGGTGTAAGTGAGATAAGAATGCAGGCGGGCAGATAAGGGAAGTGGTCTTGGCTACCTGCATGGAGCAGGGTATCTGCCAGTCAGAAGAGCACAGAGTTGTGGCCTAGCTGTCTTTTATACCCCAGCCAAGTCAGCACCTAGAAATGCCCTCCACTACCATGTCTTATGTAATCTGCGTACAGACAGCACCCCATATCTGTAGTCTAGACCGCCTCCCTGAATTCCGGATTCATTTACCCAGCTGCCTACTTGCCATCTCCACTTGGATGTCTAAAGGCATCTCAAATTCAATATCCCCAAAACCAAACTTCTGATAATCTCCACCCCCACCCGAAACATGCTCACCCATCGTCAGCTCATCTTTGCTAATGGCAGCTCTCATCATTCCAGTTGTCCAGGCCAGAAACCTTGACTCATCCTTGATCCTTCTTTTCATTCCCCATTGTGCTCTGTCAACAAATCTGTTTGCTCTCCCTTCAAAACAAATGCAGAATCCAACTCCTCTCCACCACCTCCACCATCAAGTTATTCATGAGGCCTTCCTGGCCAACCCGATTTTAAATTGCTGCTCCAGCTACCAGCTCACCACTTGCCTATCTTGTTTTCCTCTGTAGCCCTCACCACCATCTAACGTGCTGTGTGTCTTACTTATCTTGCTTATTAACGATTACTCTCTATAAGGGCCAGGATTTGTCTTTCGTACTGCAGTGTCTGGAACAATGCCTGGCATGTCGTTAAGGCTACCCTCACTCTTATCTTCCAGAGCTCAGTCTCTGGTAACAGTTCAGAACACGAAAGAGAGTGGGGAAATAAAGAGAAAAACATGCCCTTTGTCTCAAATATATATGTACTTATGTCTATTTAATTTAAGTATTTCAGGCCTTTGATAAAGCCCAAGGGTCCATTCAACTTTTTTTTTTTAAGATTTTTTTTTTTGATGTGGACCTTTTTTTTTTTTTTTTAGTCTTTTTGAATTTGTTACAGTACTGCTTCTGTTTTATGTTTTGGTTTTTTGGCCGTGAGACATGTGGGATATCAGCTCCCAGACCAGGGATCAAACCCTCACCCCCTGCATTGGAAGGCGAAGTCTTAACCACTGGACCACCAGGGAAGTCCCGGTCCATTCAACTTTGGGTTCCCACTTTGAGCCTGGGGCAAGGCTGGCTACTCAGCATGTCCTTCCTGATGTGATTTCACATGATCTAGATTGGCTCCTGGGCAATAGGATATCTGAAGGGGATGGAGGTGGGAAGGGCACACCAAGGGTACCAGTGACATCACCAGGACAGGGATCTAGCCTAGGGATTCCAGGTTCTGGCTCCTAGTATTGCTCTTTGACTTTGGGCAACAGTTTCCCTTTCAGCAAGAGGAAGTGGTTAGATTAGATGCAGGACAGGAGGAGACAGTTACAGGGGGTGGTGGGCATGGTGGTCAGGCAGACCTGTCTGGTTTTCAAAAATGTATATAAGAGTGGAAGATTATTTAGTCTTTAAAAGGAAGGAACTTTTGGGAATTCCCTGGCGGTCCAGTGGTTAGGGCTCCGTGCTTCCACTGCAGGGGGCACAGGTTCATTCCCTGGTTGGGGACTAAGATCCCTCATGCTGTGCGGAGCAGCGAAAACAAAACAAAAACAAACAAAAAGAACAAAAACCAAAAAAGGAAGGAAATTTTGATACAGGCTACAACATGGATGATGCTAGGTGAAACGAGCCAGTCACGAAAGGACAAGTACTGTGTGATTCCACTTCGATGAGGTTCCTAGAGCAAACTCACAGAGACGGAAATTAGAGCGGTGGTGTCCAAGGATTGCAGGGAGGGGGAAAGAGGAGTTAATTTTTAATGGGTACAAGTTTCAGTTTGGGAAGATGAAAAAGTTCTGGAGGTGGGTGGTGGTCATGTTAGCCCAAGAGCGTGAGTATACATAATGTCACTAAGTTGTACACTTAGAAATGGTTAAAATGGTAAATTTCATGTTGTATGTATTTTACCACAATTTTAAAAATATGTATAAATTTCATTTTTCCAGTATCCCTCTGGGTGGAGAGCGGAGTGCCACCCTAGCTGGCCAAGATTCCCTGAATTTCCACCCCTCTCCACACTCCTCCAGGCCATGGTTCCTGCTGGACAGGAAGAACCTTCTGGCTCACCCTGCAGCCCCGGGCAGGAAAGAGCAGTAGGCCAGGATCTAGGGACAGACACTCACGGTCCCCAAATTTCCATTCAGTCTGGCTTGCATGAGGACCCCTGGCGACAGGGGAACTTGTGTCCTCTGTCCTCATCTTCATTCTGGGGACACAGGGTAATGCGGGTCTGAAGGAGGTTAGGGGTGGGGGTGATGCAGGTTTGATTGCCCCTGTGGCTGTGAGCAGTTTTGGAGGACAGGCCCAGGGCCCTTGTAGGAAGGCTTCAGGTCACATCAACTTTGAACACTTTATTGACTCAGTCCCGGAGGGTTACAGGATGGGCTCAGAGCAGGGCCTCTGCGCAGGAATGGCAGCCGAGCCAGCTTTCGGTCAAGGCCTGGGAACGTGCAGGTATCACCTTCAGCTGCTCTTGACCTTGGTCTCTGTAATGGAGATGACAGCCAGCTCCCTATTTGACTGGCCTGTTGGCGGCCTAGAGCCAGAGCCATCAAGCTGGACTCCTTACCCAACCCCTTCAACACCCACCAACCTGGGGGCCTCCTCATTTCTGTCACCTCCCACCGTGATCAGTGCTACAATCACGTTCATCACCTCTGTCAACAGGATGCCCCCTGTGAAAGTTACATTGCCGTCTTCACCTTTACCAGCCCCACCATGTATTTTAAAAGGGCTTACTGCAATAACCAAGCTTCCTTTCATCTTTACTATCCATGCCACCATCCACCGCAGCCTTACTGTCTACACCTCATTACCACCATCACCAGCCCACGGTGACCCGTCTCTTATTCCCATTATTCTCATCACCACCAACTTCCATATTTACATGATCATCTGAATCACTGCCAGCACCCTCGCCAACACCACCTCCCTTCACATGCCCAGCATGCTGTCACCTCCGTTACTCCTCCTGTTTCCATCAGAGGACTCGCCAGGGGGTTTGCAGACCCTCACACAGACCTCTGTGGTCTCAAAATTGTTGGCATTGCCCTGACGACCACCATAGGTAAAGGGCTCCCAGTCAATGGACGTAGAGTTGTAGAAGTATCGGTGCAAAGAGGCTTTGCAAGGGCCCCTCACTGCGGGGAGCTGGCAGAGGGCAGGGGGAGTTTGGAGCAACTCCTGGGAAGCCTCTTGCTGAAGATTGGCTGCCAGGTAAAGGAAGAACAGGATTGTCACTCATGTGTCCTCTTAAAGCACTGATGAGTATTTTCCCCCAGCGTTTATTCTACACCAAGTGCCCTCCTAGGTGTTTGCTATACTTGCCATTATTTAACCTAATGGAGAGGATATTACTGTCCCCACTTCACAAATGAAGAAACTGAGGCTCGGAGAGGTTTGGTAATTTCCCCAAAATCATAAGACCTGTAAATTGAGAGAGGCTTGGGATTTAAACCCAGATCCAATTTCAAATCCCAAGTGCTGTGTCCTATAGCCTCTCATAACTTGACATCAAGATGTTTGTTGTAGCTTTGTTTATAATTGCAAAGAATTATACTTTGGAAAGTATGTAAATGTTCACCAACAGGGGATCCATGGGCCATTATGCAGTCACTAAAAAGCATAGTGTTGGGACTTCCTTGGCGGTCCAGTGGTTAAGACTCTGACTTCCACTGCAGGGGCGCTGGGGAAGTTAAATCCCGCATGCTGCACGGTGTGGCCAGAAAACAAAAGCACAGTGTTGGTCTATACGCATCAGCATGGGGAGAGGTCCATAACTTTGGTTGAATAAAAAAACCAAATTACAAAATAGGAGATCTGGTATGATCTGCGGATGTAAAATATATGTATAAACCGGTAGAATGATGACATGAAAGTTGTTCACCAATATATTTAGAGTAGTTATCTCTGGGTGGTAGAATTTGAAGGGATTTTTATCTTCTAAAAAAAATTTTTTTTTTGGCTGCGCCATGTGGCTTGTGGATCTTACTTCCCTGATCAGGGACGGAACCCGGGCCCATGGCAGTGAAAGTGCCAAGTCCTAACCACTGGACTACCAGGGAATTCCCTAAAAATTCTTTTTAGTATCATTTGAATGCCAGTGAACAAGTATCATTTTTTATAACTAGGAAAAAGATATTTACATTAAATAATCTTAAATATCCATGAGTAATCAGCAAATAAGGAAACTGGCCTCTTTTACTGAATCACTTGTTATTTTAACTCCTAACTACATCTAGGTCCTGTTATCACACAAAGGAATTTATCACACACACCCTCCCTCAACCGTTAGCCTTGGACACTCAGGACTTTTTATGGGATGCAACAAACTCCACTTTGATAATTACACTTTCCCTAATAAGGACAGCATCCCTCAAACAAATAAGCACATGGGTCAACTCACCTCTACCGAAATATTTTGTGAATCTTCACTGTGTATGACACTGACCATGCTGAATATACTGGGAGAAACTCAACCCAGAATAGGGAAGAGGCCATTCTAGGAAGGGAATTCGAGACCTTCTGTTAGGCAGCAGTTCTCAATCTTGGTTAGAATATTAGGATCTCCTGGGGAACTTTAAAAAAATGTCCCAATGCCCAGGCTTCATCCCAGACCAATCAAATCAGAATTTCTGAGTGTGGGACCCAGAGACTCCTCAGGGGACTTCAGTGTGCAGCCAAGTCTGAGAATCTGGCCTCATTTTCAAAGCAGTATGAACATTTATTTTCTTGCTTAAGAATTCTAGGGAGTAGGATTCTGGAGAGCAAGACTGTTGGCGCTATGTAAAACAGGGGACCCACTTTTTAAACTTCATACATTTACATATGGTTTGTCTTTAACACAAACATGTGTATTGCTTTTTAAGAAAAATTAGAATTTGGTGAAGATGTCACATAGACACCGGGGAGGTCTGGTCCCACATTTTCCTGAGACCAGATGGTGACCCCATGGGAGCCCCTTCCCATACCTAGGCCCTGGTTTCCTCCTGAGGGGGAAGTGACCAAGTGGCCTCTTGGATCCAGCATCCTCACACCCCATAGGCTATGATCTCAGGGATCCTTTTCCCAACCCCTCAGCTCACCTGAGGTCTTTCCTGAGCTGGCCAAGCCCACCAGGCAGAGGGTGAGGCAAAGGGCAAGGAGGCGGCTGAGCTTCATGGTGTGAGTAGCTCCTTGTTCTGGGCTGAGGCTAGGAGGCGGGAACTTATATCAGCAGGAGAAGGGGTCCTCTTCCCCAGGGCTGAGGGAAGTGCTCGCTTTTCATTACTTGGAATAGGAAGCACCCTGGGCAAGGGGTGTGGGCTGGAAGAACTGGACTTCTTACCTGGAGGCCGTGCCACTGGCCTTGGATGGGCTCTTCATGGCTATTGAGCAAGTCCCCTAAGACGGTGCTTCTGTAGCATCCGGAACGCAGTCCCCGGCCTCATGTACTGCAGACTCGAGTCTCTGTGACCTTGGACTGAAAAGGGACCTTTGGGGGCCTCGGTTTCCCTATCTGTAAAACAGGTGGGCTAGACCACATGGTCCCTAAGGGCTCAGCACATCTATTCTCCATTCTGTTATTATTGGTTCCTATCCAGAGCCTCCCAGCTAGTGTCTCAACATCCCAGGAGAGAGAACATAGCTCTTTGTTCATTGGCTTATTTATTTAATTTTGGGATAATGAGTGTATTGTTTCATAGAAATCATCATATTTATTTTTTAAAGATCAAGCTATACTGAATAGCATAAACAAAAGGCAAAATCACTCCCCACAGATTCTACCATAGTGCTGTGCAGCAGAAATATAATGCAGGCCACAAAGAGAATTTTAAATTTTCTAGTAGCAGCATTTTTTTCCCCACACTGCATAGCCTGTGGGATCTTTGTTGTTGTTGTTATAAGTTTCACTTATTCATTTATTTTTGGCTGCGATGTGTCTTCGTTGCTGCGCGCAGGCTTTCTCTAGTTGTGGTGAGCGGGGGCTGCTCTTCGTTACAGTGCGCGGGCTTCTCATTGCGATAACTTCTCTTGTTGCGGAGCACGGGCTCTAGGCACACAGGCTTCAGTAGTTGTCACACACGGGCTCAGTAGTTGTGGCTCGCGGGCTCTAGAGCACAGGCTCAGTAGTTGTGGCGTACGAGCATAGTTGCTCCACAGCATGTGGGATCCTCCTGGACCAGGGCTCAAACCCATGTCCCCTGCATTGGCAGGCGGATCCTTAACCACTGCGCCACCAGGGAAGTCCCAGCTTGTGGGTTCTTAATTCCCCAACCAGGGATTGAACCCGGGCCCACGGCAGTGAAAGCACTGAGTCTTAACCACTGGACCGCCAAGGAATTAGCAGCTTTTTTTTTTTTAGCAGCAGCATTTTAAAGATTAAAAAGAAAGAAGTAAAACTAGTTTTAATAATAGTTTATTTAACTCAATAGATCCAAAATAGTATAATTTCAACATATAATCAACATGTAATAAAGACTAATATGATATTTTACTTTTCTTCGTACTAAGTCTTTGGAATCTGAGTATATTTTGCACTTGAGGCGCATCCTGATTCATACTATTCATATTTCCTGTGCTCAGTAGCCACGTGTGGCTAGTGGCTACCATAGTGGACAGTGAAATTCCACCACGTGAAATAAGTATCTTTACTTCAAGTTATCCTCATAAACATTTTGTTAGGTAGATAAAAAAATAGTAATTCTAAAAAACAAAGGGTTTACAGGTATTTTTTTCTCTGAATTTTTGCATTTTGCCTTTATATTTCAAGGACAATTTGATGGGATAAAAAATCCTGGATGAGACTTTCTTTTCCCAGAACCATTGTGGACATGGTTCCACTGAATTCTGCCATGGAGTGTCGCTATGAAGTGGCCTGAATGTTTTTCTCCCTTAGGGGTGACTTTTTTCCTACCTGAAAGCTTGAAGACCTCTTTGCTTATCCTTGAGATAACATATTTTGGTATCATTCTGCATCATTTTTTTTTGTACTGGAACACGGAATGCTTTTTCCAATCCACAGATTTTTGTAAGGGAAATTGCCTTGTATTACATCTTGAAATAAAGTGTCTTTTCCAATTATTGAGTTTTCTATATGAGACATCAGTTATGTTAGATTATCTTCACTTGTGCTTCAGTAGTTATTAAAAACCTCACCATTGGAGACAGAGGAATTCAAATTCCAACTTTGCTATTCACTATCTGTGTGACCTCAGGCAAGTTATTTACCTTCTATGGATATAGTTTCTACTTGGAGATAACAACGGAAACTGCTGCGGAAAACCCAGGCTCTCTTCACCAGTACAGAATAGAAGCCCGGAGACAGAGCTTTGGAGGAGTAGAAAGGAGTAGCTTCATTACTTTGCCAGGCAAAGGGGGCCACAGCAGGCTAACACACTCAAGGCTGTGCCCCGCTTCCTGGGAAGTAGAAAAGGGTCTTACAGTTTCAGGGTGGAAAATAGGACTGTAGATAAGGATCAGGGCTGATGTAGTTTGCATCCTTCTTTCCTCCTGGAGACATTGAGATCATTAGGGCTGGCGTCACGTGGTTCCAGAATAGGTTCTGGTGGTCCTCGAGATTATCGTTCCGTGACCTTTTTGGAATGAAGAATGCTCACAAGGGAGAGGAGTGTTCGGGAGTGTTGTCACGGAGAAGTAAACATCAGGCGCACAGTGCAACCTTAGCTAGAGGGCAATCGTTTTCAGAGTGCAATTAAGCAAGAAAGAGAGGGGGAGAAAACATCTGTAGGAGACAGGTGGAATGGGTGGAAAGAATAAGGGCTGAATAAGGTCTAACATAATGGGGCGCCTCAAGTATTTTCTGCTACAGCAAGACTACCTGTGTTTGGAGTTCACAAGACCACACTCAGGTTTAATTCATAAAAGGACTCACAGGACACAAAGGTGTTATACTTGAGTTTATATCAAATGGATGCAGAGTAGAATCACCAAAGGGGGAAAGTGCGTGGGGTGAAGCTAGAGGAACATAGGCACAAGCTTCTGCTTGATTCCCTCAGCCCAACACATCCGAGGTGTTGCCAACCAGGGGACCTCACTCCTGTCTGGGAGTCTTGGGTTTTTACTGTGGTCAGGCATGCAGGTATATACTGCCTGCACAGCTGACCTCAGGGAAGCCCCAGACCCCAAAGGGAAAGCAGGCATTTCCCTTGTCTAAAATGATTAAAGAAGACAGTTCAGGTGACACAAACTTAACACTTCATGAAGTGAGCAGTCTCCATCCCCAAGGGTCCAAAGAACTGTAGATCATTTACAAGAACACAGAATTAAGTTTCAACGTGCTGACATGGCACCCCAGACATCTTGGGTCTAGATATTTATTTCAACACAGGCCTGAGATCAGATCCAGATGTTCCTACTGGGAGTTGGGTGTCATGTTGATGATCACAAGAGGAGCCCTGAATCTTTGAGCATTTACCGCCCAGGGGCACAGAGCTGAGCATTCTCTATTCATTAGTCTCAAATGCGTTCACAGCATCCCAAAGAAATGGGGTCGATTTTATAAACAATCCCGTTTTACAGATGAGGGCACCAAGGCCCAGGAACACTAAGTAATTTGCCAAACCCAGGTCCTCCTACTGTTGGGGAGGAAACCTTTCCCTGTTTCCCTTCTAGGTTCCTTGGCTGGTTTGGTAAGACAAACTAGACATAAGACAGATGAACAGGAGAAAACCAAATTTCATAGGTAGAGCATCCCCAGAGACACGGGACCCAAAGACAGGCAGTTGAGGCTTATATGCCATCCTGAGTGAAGGAGAAGGGGATGGGGATCTAATCAATCATCTCATCCTCGGGGAATGGAAGGAGACTCACGTTTGTCTTTACAAAAGAAGTCCAGTGACTTGTACTTGTCACAGGCCACCAGTGTGTGATCATTGCAATGAATTAAGGTGAAGGCAGAGAATTAGGAAGAGGTGCAGGTTAGTGGGAGAGAATGTGGGGCTTCCTGAGATTCAGCTCTTCCCAACCTTGGCTTCTCTGCTCTACTTCCTAAGGTGTGTGGGAAAGGCAGCTTTTCTCTGCACCTGCTACCCTTCTCCTCCACCCCGGTGAGTCTCCTCCAGGCCTGCTATCAAATTGTGGTCCTGTGGACCATCTTATAGGAGGGGAAACTGGGGCTGGGGACACACCTGTGACGGTGAGCCTGTTAGGAATGAAGCTTCTCAGGCGTCACCCAGACCTGGGGAATCAGAATGTGTATTTACTTCCACAAGACCTACAGGCAGAGTCAAGTCTGAGAAGCGCTGTTACTGGGCATTTGGCCTCAGCAGGCAGAGGCAGGAAGCCTGATTACGTGGGAGGTGAAGCATGAACAGCACTTACCCCAGCTCCACCCCTTCCTCACTCCCCTCCTCATTACCTGACCCCCCCCCCCCCCAGCTGGGATATGAAAAGCTCTGTCAGCCCCCTGCAAGGCCACGAACATGAGCCGGCTCTGCCTCTCTGACCCGCTTCTCGTCCTCCTGGTTACCCTGGTGGCTGGCACCCCGGGCGGTAAACACAAGAGCCGTGCCAGAGGTAAGTCCCGGCTCACCTCTCCTCCACAGGCTGGGGGAGAAATGAGGCTAGTCCATTGTCGACTGAAAAAAAGTGTGCAACCTAAAAGTTGAGAGTTGTTTTACTCGGAGGAAATTTTTAGAACTTCAAGCCCGGGAGGCAGTATCTCAAGTAACCGTGAGAGAACTGCTCTGAGGAGGTGAGCGGGGAGCCAGGATATATAGAGGAAGTTTTCCAACAAAGGGCAGGTAGTCTGAATGTCAAAAGATTATTGTATATGAAAGAAAACCAGATATCCCAAGTTAAGGAATTTAGCACTTTTCTTTTTAAATTAAAACAATTTTTAAAAAAATTTTTGTTTTTTTACGTTTTTTCCCCTGTAATTTATTTCTAATGTCATAGCGTTGCAGTTGGAAAAGATGCTTGATATGATTTCAATTTTCTTAAATTCACCGAGGCTTCACTTGTGACCCAAGGTGTGATGTATCCTGGAGAATGTTCTGTGTCCACTTGAGAAGAAAGTGTCATCTGCTGTTTTCGGATGGAATGTCCTATAAATATCAATTAAATCTATCTGGTCTATTGTGTCATTTAAAGCTTCTGTTTCATTATTTATTTTCATTTTGGATGATCTGTCCATTGGTGTAAGTGAGGTGTTAAAGTCCCCTACTATTGTGTTACTGTCGATTTCCTCTTTTATAGCTGTTAGCATTTGCCGTATGTATTGAGGTGCTCGTATGTTGGGTGCATATATATTTATAACTGGTATATCTTCTTGGATTGATCCCTTGATCATTATGTAGTGTACTTCCTTGTCTCTTGTAACATTCTTTATTTTAAAGTCTATTTTATGTTCTGAAGAACCTAGGGTCAGGACAGGAATAAAGACGCAGGCATAGAGAATGGACTTGAGGACACGGGGAGGGGGAAGGGTAAGCTGGGACGAAGTGAGAGAGTGGCATGGACATATATACACTACCAAATGTAAAATAGATAGCTAGTGGGAAGCAGGCACATAGCACAGGGAGATCGGCTCAGTGCTTTGTGACCACCTAGAGGAGTGGGATAGGGAGGGTGGGAGGGAGATGCAAGAGGGAGGAGATATGGGGATATATATATATGTATAGCGGATTCACTTTGTTATACAGCAGAAACTAACACAACATTGTAAAGCAATTATAGTCCAATAAAGATGTTAAAAAAAAAAAGCTAGAACAATATTATCCAAAAAAT